ATATAAAGTTCTCCTTGTAAAGAGTCTATTCACTCCACGGTTTTATTTCTGAAGATAAAAAACGTTGTAACCACTTTGAATGATGAACTGAACATGATTGACAACTGGGATCAATTTGAAATGGAGGTAATGGACTTGGAATTTGTCTGTATAGTTAGATTTGTGTTGTGCTGTAAAAATAAACTGACTTAAACTGAATTTTTTTAAAAAAAAGGACAGAAATGAACAGAAACGTCCCAAAAAAAAAAACTTTAGAAAATAATTCTGCAGCCAAAAGTGCAATTGTTTTTGGGGAAAATTGAACCAGATTATTGATTAAAGATGTTGAATTTCAATACATAACATTGTTTCTTAGAATTAACCAATGAAGATGAGCTAGAAAAGACACGTTGGTGGTTTTACCAAAGATGTCTGCCTCTGTTTAAAATACAAAACCTTTTTTTCTCTTTTCTGAGTGGCTGACTAGAGGCTACGAGAAAAAACAAGGTTATATGTTAATGAAGATGAAAACACGCAAACACACACATGGCTGTTTGACTCAACCGGACAAGTCAGTGAACAAATCCTCTTATGCAGCATAATGCTGCTTATACATGTAGATAGAAAATGCCCTTTGTCTCTGTAGCTTGGCCAATTTGAGACAAACAGTGTTGAAAATCACATTAAATTAAAGGAAACTGGATTTACTGGTTTAGATGATCAAAAAATGTCATTTTATAAATAAAATAAATAAATAAAATAGGGCAAAGGAATCAGAATCACAACTGCACACAGATATCCTGGTGCTTTTTGATTATTTTATCACTTTCAGACATAATAACATTATTATATATTATTAATTTTGACTTGAATTTTTTACATATTATCCTCATGTATTATACATGCACAAGAATAGGATATTGCTACTATTACTATTGTGTTGGCTTGACATTAAGGTCACAAAGATAAAAACAAAATAAAAATTAAAACATTCTATATTTAATTTAAATATATTTTAAAAAATTTATCTATCCAACTTCCAAAAGCATAGATGATAACAGACGTTAACAGCTGGTTGCTAGGGATGTATTTTTATTTTTAAATATTTTTACGAATGTTGATTGCTTTTAAATTTATGTGACTGACATCTTTTGAGAATCTGGATTTACATGATCTTTTTTCCACCATGTGGATGTGACGGACACACAGAGTGAAATGTCTGGACAGCAATTACTGCAGCCGGAAGAAAACTGTATGAGTAATTAAGTGAAAGCAATCAGAGAGGAAACATAATGAATCAGAACCAGCATGAAATGTCCCATTTGTGAGAGAACATAATTAGTTTGTAGAAGAGTAATGCAAAAATGTGAGGCCTCATTAAAACATCATGTCTATCATGACGATATCAATTATGCATAACGGCAATATCATAATTAATGTGTTCACTTTTGTCTATAGAGACTTTAATTTTATTTTGATTTGCAGCAGCTTGCACTCCACCAAGCAGGAAAAAAATGCTTTGTTCTCCTTTTGAATGCTAATTTTGAATTCAAAACGATGACTCAGACCTGCATGCAAACTTGTCAAGCAATTAAAGCGTCAGGTTTTTTCTGTTCCTTCCTGAGAAGGCTCATCTTCAGCTACAGGTTCATTCCTAAGCCGACGGGGAAGTTCAACAGGAAGTGGATCGCGACAATTTTCCCCAGAAGCTTGCGGCAGATGACAAACAAGTTTGACCTCACTGAAAGTAAAACTCGCTGGCAGGAGAAGCACTTTGCCTAATCAAAAGCAGTAGAAAAAATAAATGTTTCCGGCTGAACATTAAAACCTCAAAGAAAAGCAATAACTCTCAATTAACCCAAACAAACGCGCAAGAACAGACGAACATGTCTCTTGGACAAATTTATTTAAATTATCCAATAATTCAGCATCAGATGGACAATAACTGGATGAAGATAAACTTTGGGATTTGTATCACTAAACTACACACAGTCATTAAATTTAATCATATTTTCACTTTCAATATTTATAGACACTTGAATAGAACAAACAATTGCACAAAAATTGCAAATATTGACAATACAAACAATTTGGGGTTATTAAAATATCCTTATTTGGACTTTATTGTGATTATAAACTCAAATCATTATCATGATAAGAAATGTATTGCAATAAATGATAAACAATTCAATAAATGCCCACCCCTAATTCAGGGGTGGGCATTAGGGGTCCCCACCTCTAATTAGCATCCCTGACTGTTTTATAGATATTTGTGAATATAGAAAATCACCTCATACAAACTGTTAAATACAGTAGAGCACCTATCATGCTGTGGGTCAGTTTCTCTTATAAACAATCTGTAATAAATGTCTACAGTGGGACAAATGGAGGAATATTATCGAATGTTTGGTCATAAGAGAGGTCTCAGTACCTGTGCAGGTTAATGAATAGAGAACAAAAGAACGGGAAAAAGAACGGGAAATAAAGCTTCAGTGTAAACTTGTTCAGATCAAATGAGATTTCTTGGAAACTCTGGCTGAGCTGATGACTGACAAGTCCTCCATTTATATCACAAGAAGCAGAAAATATGCACCAGCGGGGGAAAAATCCGGTTCTAACAGCTGGTGCTAATTTTGAAATACCAGGAAGAGAAATGCTCAAATGTACAGACACTGAAAGGAACCCAAGAGTTTCTCAGAACTGTGCGGCTATTTTTGTTGAAATGCAGAAAAAATGAGGATTATTACAGATCGCTGACTGGTATTGTTCTTAATCAGGGCATCTGCAAACTTTGCAAGTCAACTTTATGACTCTTTAAGATCTTTTTAATGCCATCTTGAATAAAATTCAAGACAAAAAACAGATGGTTAGTGGAACTTGCTGCATTTCAATCAAGCAGAGCGAAAAGTATGAATTAGGCTTTTTGCTTCTCACACTGCAGATGGCGCTCTAACATATTTTTGCACTGAGTAATATCGTATGCATTGACAGTAGAAGTCAGCCACTGGCAAAATCAGCATATGAAAGCTAGCTAGCTAGCTATATGTTAGCAGCTAGTTAGCGGTAGTATCAGTCGCCTCGAGTCACACAACTCAATGAAGATATTTGAGTGCGACTTAAACTTTTGCCTAAGAAAAGTCCAGAGAAAAAACTACATTTAAAATTGCTGCCATGACAAAATTTAATAGTTACATTTTAAAAACAAATTTAAAACATTTTAAGGCTTCATTAGAGTGGTGTTTTAAAACACAATCAAGTAACCATGTTATCTTCAGTTGTTATAAAAATCCTATATGTAACAAAAATGACTTAAAAGAAAATTGACTTTGTAATTTTACACCTTGAAATTGGGCCTCTGTCTCTTTAAGAACTCTGCCCTCAGGAAGTCATCACAACATGGCTCCTTGATTAAAGCTTTAAGAATACTTTTCCCTGCGATGCACTGAGAAGTAGCTGGCTTAATGAGGTGTTTGCTAATTGCTGCTGGCTAGTCTGAAGGAACTAAGTGTTGGAAGCTTTGGAGGATGGAAACTGCAGCTCAGAGGAGGAGCTTTGTCTTGAAGGCGGAGCTAGGTCCACCAGCTGAATGGTTTCCCTGGAGATTAAATGATTTCTTAAACATGCATGAAAGAATAAAAGCAACACTTCATGTTTCAGATGAAGGAATTATATTATGACATGATGTAAAGCTCGGAAAAGTTACAAATTTTACATGATATTGCCGTTAACAGGCTTTTCATGTCTTTCCAACTGGACAAATATCTATAGCAGTTGCATAATTAATCAAAACTTTTAACTTTTTTTTTTTAAATGATGAATTAAAGTCAAGGCCGGCTTTGGAGTCAAAGAAAAAATAAAACTAAAGTCAAACTATTTTATTTAAGCATGAAAGTACAAATCCCACATGGAGACGGGGGCTTGTGCTGCTGAGATGATCTCCTCTGTCAAACAGTGGAAAACAGAGATTGATGAGACGGACAGCACTGCGCTGCAGAAATAGCCACCACTCAGGGTTTGTCGGCAAAAACCCGTGATAAGAGCCGGCGATGAAAGATAAATGCAGATCAGGAGCTGACAGATCACGGAGCGATTAAAAAGAGGCTTTTCTCCTCGGCTGTTTCCTGGTTTGTGGACTGAAGACGACTGCTGGCCTGACAGGAAGGGCCTCATTGTGCTGCAGCACAGGGCTTGCGTAAGATCTTAGTGTGCAGACATGGACGTGATGCACACTCTCAGCACAACAACGCATTGCTTCCTTTTTACAGAACAGAAACTTGGTACGGTATAGCGAGAAAAACAACAACTAACCAAACAAAATGAAAAAAATTATGTGCATTTGAGCCGGCATTCCTCAGCTGTTACTCAAACCACAAACGCCAACAGCAAGCATTTCTTAGAATGAAACATGGTGAAACTTGTCTGACTCAACTATTATCGCTTCGAGTTGCACTTCCTTTACTGTTATTGTACGTCCATGAAAACGCTTTACTGCACAGCTGTAGCAAGAACAAACCTTTAAAAAACAGAATTTGACTCATAAAGACATCTAAAAGTCTCGTTGTTAGAGTAAATATCAAGATTATAATGGCGGGTTTGTTTTTCCCAACAGCAAGCTTCAAAAACACAAAATATTACCAAATATTTTTGTCTAGTTTCAAGAGCAAATTTCTTTGTAAACTTAACGTAAGAAGAAATGAATTTAAAGTAACTTATTAGCAAGATATAGGAGCTTTAATTCATTAAAACTAGTGAAAAATTCAGTTCAACATCATAAAACAAAATCCAGTAACAGCTATTACGGTTATAAAGGTTAAAGAAAACATGTTGCTATCAGTGAAATAATCCGCCAGTTGAACTAGTACTTTCTCTAAAACAAGCTCCTTCATCTTGCTATCAAGTTACTTACAAGTTAGTTTTGTCCAATTTTAAAATTGTTGCAGATTTTGTGTTTTTGCAGAGCACAGATTGAAGCTAGCGGCAGCAGGAGCAACAACAGAGAGAGTTTTTAAGTGTATTTCTACCTCTGTCACCCAGATGAGCGGGATGGCGCTGTAATTCTTCCTCATCCCTCCTCTCCCTCAGAGCCTGAGGTCAAAGTGCATGGAAGTGCATGAAGCCCCCTGTGGGTCGCTGGCACTCTGAAGCTCCAGGACTCCAACAGAGCAGCGAAAGCAGCAGCAGCAGCGTCTTTCTCTCTCTCTGTGTTTCGTGTGCAACAGTCTTATTGTGAAATCTTGCTCTCCGTGTGGCAGCAGCTATTTGAATCAAAGTGGCTCAGATTCCTCCGGTGGAGTTGTGTTTTCAACATTTATAGCCACCAAGTGCTCTCTCTCTGGGGTAAAGGCATTTTTCTCCCTCTGATTGCTATCAGACAGTAGCAAAAACCTGCCAATCAGGAGCGAGCAGGCGGAGAGGATGAGGAGGTTTCAGGGAAGTGAAGGATTGCAGGATTCGCTCCCTGAGGGGAAAACGTTTTACTGAACAGGACAGACAGATAACGGCCGGCGTGTTTACGTGGCCAGGCTGGACTCTGCTCTCCGCTCAGGCTCACTGGGACATTCTGTCCAAACCGGGAAGAAGCTGCTTCTTTTTGTCACTCAGCCAACCGAAAGGATAATAAACGAGCGATATTTTGAGCATCAGTTTGTCTTTTTTGTTGCTGTTAGCGATTCCCCCTGAGAAATGAGTGACTGTGCTGTTGATACAAATTCAAACATCAGACAATAAAACTCAACATTTGTGTAAATTCCTGCAAAGTTTGGAAATTGTGTGTTTTTTTTTCTCTTAAGAGACAGTAGAGAGGTGAAGATGAGCAAAAAAACTAAAAATAAATTAGTTTATCATTTCAATGACATTATGTGACAGTGAGGTTTTTTTTATTTAATTTAGTTTTATTTAATTACATCCAGTCAGTGGGTGGAAAAAAATCCACATTTACATAATTTTAAAAAGCATAAAAAAATAATTAATTATATAATCTATTACACATAATATAATACAATATAATATAGTAATGTTTGCTTGGAACATTTTGAAATTTTATTTAATTACGTCCACTTAGTTTGTGGAAGAAAATCACATTAAAATATATGTTTAAAACATATAACATAAAATATAAAAAATATATTATAAAATATTATACTTTATAATACATATAGTACATGCATAATGTAATATAAAATGATATATATTATATGCAAATCCTTATCCTTAAAAAACGTGTTTATCATTGCAAGGATATTATGTCACAGTGAAATTTTAAATGAAATGAAATTAAATAAACTTACTGGGCAGAAGACAGAAGAAATTTAAAGTAAATAAGATAATAAGTTCTGTAAATAAATAGCTATGAGACTAAATAAGATGCAGGTCCGTTACTTTAAGCTCCGTCTAAAACGGGTTATAGAAACAGCAACAAGAAAATAATAATATTTATAATTGAAACTTTTTAAACAACTTGAACGGAAACAAAAAGTAGAATTTTACCTACAAGTTTAGACAAATGGTTATTTGAGAACCACAATAAGTTTCTACATGCAAAATAAAATGGGATGATTTTGCTAAAGTATGTGAGATGTTCTCAAGTTAAACGTTGAATAATTGAAACCGATTTAAACAATACTTTAAAAAACAGGAGCTGTGTAGTTCTGCACGGCCTTCTGTTTGTTTACATAAACCTGAGATTATAAGAGATTAACTCTGTGTTTTACAGAGGATGGTCCAAAGCTAATTTAGATAAAACAAGGAAGCATTTAACCTCATTTGCTCTTCGTCCGGAGAATTTGACTCCTATCAAGGCTGCAGATCAAACTTTCATTTAACACAGTTTGGAACATTTTCATAAATAAAACCATTCTGTTCTACCACACCCTGTAATTTCACTTGCATGACTTTGCTTGAATGTACGGCTTGAAGTCCCAGAGGGACACAATCAGATGTCAAGTCACTTCAGCTGACTCCTACAGTCCAAGTCTAATTTACTGAGAAAGCCTCATATAAAAAACAACTACTGTACCCTAATTATGTCTCAAAAATAAAATAAATAAAAGGCAGAAAGCAAATATTCCCCACATGTAGTTCATTTATGCCCTATTTTATAACTACTTAATTTGGTGATATGGATTATTAAATCAAATTTTATATTTTTTCATACCAGGTCTGACTGCAGATTTCTGATAAGTTTTTTGGCACTACCAGAGCTCCATACAATGTCTTATTGACGAAGGTTCCTGATCACTGACGTCTGCCCTGCAGCCCAGGGGCATAAACATGAACTCTGATGCTTTTTATCAGCCTTCACGCCCAAATGAGTGCAGGAAACCCATTAAAGCAAATCCAAGATTTGGAGAATTACAGACTGGTAAATGCTGAGGAAAGACCTCACACTTTCCCAGAGGAGCAGAAACCACTCAGGGCAGGGGGGAACATTGACTGTGCGCGATGTCAAATCGAGAGATAAATAACGAGGAAGAGGATTCACCCTCTTCATTGCATTCCTGCTGCTGGCATCGCTGCCACCTCAGCCAGATGCTGCATCAGCAGTCACAGAGTCAGAGGCTCAAATTATCTGCTCCATTTGCAGACGATGATTCAGACTGCAGAGAGACGCAGGAGAAGAGCAGCTAATAAGCCCCTTGCTGAATAAAAAGCAAGAACTTTCAGCTTGGAGTGCTTTGGGAACACTTTATAATTACACATCAAAGCACTCACAGCTGATAGTTCTGAAATTGCGCTGAGGATTTAAATGCGACGCCTCCTTCACTTTGCAAAACGAATCTTCTCTGAAGGGATCCGTGTTCGCTAACATGCTGACAGGAGAGGATGCCAGAAGCCTTCAGGGCCAAACTGATGAAGCTTTGAAGACAGGGCTGACTCACTGACACAGACTGAGAAAAGAGCGCCCCCTTTTGGCCAATAAACGCTAGTAAAACTCACCTTGTGATGGTTTTCTTCTGCTTCCACATCCTGCACTGGTTTGAGGAGGAAGAAGCGACAAAAACAGAAAGTCTTCTCATTTAGCAGCTGCAAAAATCTGAAAATGCAATAAATAAATAAATGAAGGTTTTAACTGTTGGAAATTATCAAACATTTCTGTGCACCAAATGGAACCAAAGAAGAAAAAAAGTAACAGAATTTTGCTCCAGTTTAACTCTGTATACATTTCATTCCCTTCCAAGCAACTCTGGTTACTGGTGAGCTTTACATTTAATTTAGGATTCTTTAAATTTAATCAAAATAAAGACAATTCATTCATGTAAGGGCAAAATCTCAGATATTCTCCTGAAAAAACAAGAACATTTCTGAGCTCCCAAAGTCGAAAATTTGCTAGAAACAAATTCAAAATTTTGAGATCAAATTCTAAAAAATACTTGGAAATTTTTCAGTTTCAAAACTCGAATTGTTTTTTTTTCTAGAAAATCAATCTCAAAATTACTTTGTTTTATTTTCTCGCAAAATGTTGACATTTCAAACTCAGAAATTTCTAGATGTTTTTTCTTTTACATTAATCTCAAAAGTTCTGAGTTTTTAACCGAAATTCATATTTACACTGGCCCTGTAGAACTTTTATACTTTAGCTATATGATTCATTCAAGGGGTAAAAAGGAGGGGTAAAAAGGAGGCCCACCTGCAGATGAATCTTAAAGCAAGTCAAACTCACCGTTTGCTTAGGAAATATGAGAAAATCAAAAATAAATCATCAAGGACATCAGATGGAAATCTTTGGATGTCTAGTCTGGTTCATCCTCGTCGAAATGTTTTGAAGTTCATTCATCTGTTCAGTGTTCTCGCGAGAACTTGCGACGGGCGGTTGAATCTTCTCGTCGAAGTGGCTTTTGATTCGCTAGACGCCATCTTGTGGCTAACGGCACCATGTAGGTGAGTTTGTTTTTTACGACTTCCACAGTTGATAGCGGTGTTAGCTTGAAACAAGTGACCATTTGAGACTCTTATTTTGAAGTAAAGCCCCCACCCCCAAACCTTAGAAAGGAATACGTTGTGCTCTGCTGGGTTGTAATGACAAAATTTGTTCGTATTTCCTCGACAAGCTAGCTCGTTCCACTAACAACCAACAACAGAAAAAAAAAAAAAAACATTGGCTTGCCTTATGGATTTTTTTTGTTTGTTTAAAAACATTAGTCTACTTTTGCAATAAATTTAAATATTCTTTGATAATCCCAAAGGGACACTAAATGTTGTTGTAGCTCATTAATTCAAATTATTGAGGGCAGTTGGCAGGAAAGATCCCCTGTAGCAGTCTGTACTACAGTGAATTGAAGAAGCCATCACTGGTTGCACATCAACTTCCTCTGCTGGTGGGTCACTGTCAACTCACCTCTTTTCTTGTTCATCTTCAGAATTTAATCATAATCCAAAACAAGTTGAAAGGAAGGACCATCATGCTTTTTTTAAACATCAGGAAAAAGATTTTATTCAAGCAGGAAACTATAATTAACAGCATGAACATGAAGCAGTCACAGTTCACTGGGCTCCGGCTTTAGGCGGAACCCACTCGTGGATCTTCTTGCGGGTGGTGGGGTACGGCACGTACTGCTGCGGGGTACCACTCACATTGAACTGGTGAACCTCGGCGAGGAACTTCTTGGGCTCTGGAGGATGTGTGGTTGGTGGGTCTTCTGTCATACAGTGCAGCCAGCGATGCCTGAACGATGAAGACAAGGGGGCTTTGGTTACATTTACAGTTGTGCAACCATATTCAAATTAACCAGCATTTAATTGAAATGACAGAAAACACTATCACTGGATTAATTTGAGGTTTAACTTCTTCCAACAATTGTTAAAACAGTTCATAAATTAAAAACGAGGAGGATACCATTCAGCTGGCACCATGCTACCATCCACCTCCCAGAATGTTCTTTTTCCGTTCATCTCTGTGGTGTAGATCACCCAACGGTGACGCCCTGAACACACAAATAACACATCAGAAAAAGCGGTTTCTTTAATTGTCCCAAAAGACTTATGATTTAAAATCTGGAATTAAGGCAGAAAAAAACATACTTGCTCGTACCAAAAATACGATTGGATATTGGCCTGATTTAGCTTGTGTGGTAATTTCTTAATTTTAGGCTTACAACAAACACCATAAAGTTGGGAAGCGTCAATTGTGTAAATCTAAAATGAGGTAGACTATAAAATAGTAATTTTAAACAGTAATTTGACCATAAGACTGAAACATTTTCGCAAATGTTTAAAAAAAATAGTCAGAAATGGGTAAAGTGGATAACTCAACCGTTTTAAACTAGCAAACATTAAATAAATACTGTAGCACTGTTCCAAT